GCGCGCTGCCGACGGAGGCGTTTGATTTGCGAGTGACGACGACGATTAAGCCGCAAGAGAACACCGCGCTCGAGGGACTTTATAAGTCGTCTGGGAACTTTTGCACGCAATGCGAGGCGGAAGGTTTCCGACGAATCACGTTTTATCAAGATAGACCGGATGTGATGTCGATATTCACGACGCGCATCACGGCGGATAAGACGAAGTATCCGGTGCTGCTCGGCAACGGAAACTTGGTGGATTCTGGAGATTTGGAGGGTGGTAAGCACTTCACCGTGTGGGAAGATCCGTGGGCAAAACCGTGTTACCTTTTCGCGCTCGTCGCGGGTGATCTCGGGATGGTGGAGGATAAATTCAAGACGATGACGGGCAAAGAAGTGACGCTTCGCATCTTCACCGAGACGCACAACTTGGACAAGTGCGCGCACGCGATGACGAGCTTGATCAAATCCATGAAATGGGACGAAGACACGTATGGTTTGGAGTACGACTTGGAGCTTTTCAACATCGTCGCCGTGGACGATTTCAACATGGGCGCCATGGAGAACAAGTCGCTGAACATTTTCAACTCGCGTCTCGTGTTGGCGACGCCGCAGAGCGCCACGGATGCCGATTACGCCGCCATTGAAGGTGTCGTGGCGCACGAATACTTTCACAACTACACTGGAAACCGTGTGACGTGTCGTGATTGGTTCCAACTGTCCCTCAAGGAAGGGCTGACTGTGTACAGAGACCAAGAGTTCAGCGCGGATATGAACTCGCGAGGCGTCAAGCGCATCGGCGACGTCTCGCGCCTTCGCATGGCGCAATTCGCCCAAGACGCGGGTCCGATGGCGCACCCGATTCGCCCGGAATCGTACATTAAGATGGATAACTTTTACACCGTGACAGTTTACGAAAAGGGAGCGGAAGTCGTGCGCATGTACGAGACGCTCCTCGGCAAGGATGGGTTCCGCAAGGGGATGGATTTGTACTTTGAACGTCACGACGGTCAAGCGGTGACGACGGAGGATTTCTTCGCCGCCATGTGCGACGCCAACGGTGCGGACTTGTCCACGTTCAAGCCCTGGTACTCCCAAGCGGGTACGCCGCGCGTCACCGCGAACGGGTCTTACGACGCCGCCGCGAAGACGTTCACCCTCGAATGCTCGCAAGTGGTTCCGAAAACGCCCGGTCAAGACTCCAAGGTTCCGGTCTTGTGCCCGATCGCCGTTGGTCTCGTTGGTCCCGACGGTGCAGACATGAACCTCACGATCGACGGCAAATCCCACGGCACGACGGCGGTGCTTCGTTTCGATCAAGCCTCGGCGACGTACACTTTCACCGGCGTCGACGCCAAGCCCGTGCCGAGCATCTTGCGCAACTTCAGCGCGCCCGTGCGTTTGACGACCAACTTGACGCAAGACGACTTGTTGTTCCTCATGGCGAACGACTCGGACGCGTTCAACCGATGGGAGGCTGGGCAGACGCTGCTCAGAAACCTCTGCCTGGATCTGATCAAGGGCGGCGAGCAGTCATTCAAGATGAACGACGCCATCACGGCGGCGATGCGCACGATTCTTTCGGGCGCCAAGGCTGCCGACGCGGACAAGGCGTTCATCGCGCGCGCCATGATGGTGCCTTCCGAGGGCGAGCTGAGCGACATGCTCGAAGAGGGCACGGTGGATCCCGCCGCCGTGCACGCCGCTCGCGACTTTGTCATGAAGACGCTCGCCACGGAGCTTCGCGCTGAGTTGGAAGCCACGGCGCAAGCGAACAGCGCCGCGGTGTATTCGAACGAACCCGCCGATCGCGCCGCGCGATCGCTGAAAAACGCGTGCATCGGATATTTGTCGTATTTGGACGCGCCGGAAATCGCCGCGATGACGTACGAGCGCTACGTCGCCGCGGACAACATGACGGATAAGATTGCCGCCCTGAGCGCGCTCAGCGGCAAAGACTGCGACGAACGCATCAAAGCCATCGATGCGTTTTACGCCGAGTGGTCGCACGACCCGCTCGTCATGAACAAATGGCTCAGCATCCAAGCCGCGTCGTCGCTCCCGAACAACCTCGCCAACGTTCGCGCGCTCGCCGCCGGCTCCGCCTTCGACATCAAGAACCCCAACAAAGTGTACTCCCTCATCGGTGGTTTCTGCGCCTCTCCCACCAACTTTCACGCCATCGACGGCTCCGGTTACGAATTCCTCGCCGACATCGTCCTCGAGCTCGACGATCTCAACGGCCAAGTCGCCTCTCGCATGGTGTCCGCGTTTACGCGTTGGCGCAAATTCGAGCCGACGCGCGCGTCGGCGATGAAGGCGCAGCTCGAGCGCATCGCCGCCAAGACGGGTCTGAGCGAAAACGTCTTCGAGATCGTCTCCAAGTCGCTCGAGTGATCGCGCGACGCGCCTCGGTTTCAACGCTAAGACCGCGCATTCGTTCCTTCGCGTCTCCGTCCCTCTCGCGCGTTCGCTCGCGGCGTCGCCCGTCGTCCATCGCCGCGCCATCGCGCGCCACTCCGCGCCCCTGCCGCGCGCGCGCGGCGCGCACGGCGACGCCCGGGTCGAGCGCGCATGCCGCCTCCCTCCCGCGTCCCTGCCGACGCCGATCGCGCGCGCGCGCGCCGCGAAACGCGCCGCGACGCTTCGTCGTCGGCGACCGACCGACCGCCGTCGTTCGCGCGTTCCCTCCGCGTCGGCATCGCGAGCGGCGCGTGCGCCGGCATCGCGTGCCAGCTCGTGCTGTTCCCGCTGAACACGCTCAAGACGCGCGCGCAGGCGGGCGGGCGATTGACCGCGGACCGGCTGTACGGCGGCGTCGCGGCGGAGCTGCTCGGCGCGGCGCCGGGCACCGCGTTGTTCATGTCGGCGTACGAGTGCGCGAAGAGCACGCTCGGGTTGGACCCGTCGATCGCGGCGATGCTCGGCGCGCTGGCGTCGAGCGCGGTGCTGGCGCCGATGGAGCTGATCGCGCGGCGAATGCAAGTGTCGCGGTTGAGCCTGGCGACGGCGGCGAGGCTGTCGGCGAGACGAGGAGAGCTGTTCGCGGGATTCGGAAGCTTTCTGGCGAGGGAACTGCCGTTCGACACGATCCAGATGAGCGCGTTCGAGGCGATGAAACGAGCGACGCTGGCGATCGAGGGCGCGGCGGCGGACGAGAGCGGGAAGAAGACGAAGAAGAAGAGAGCGCTGGGGAAGCGACAGACGGCGATCATCGGCGGCGTCGCGGGCGGTCTCACGGGATTGGTGACGACGCCGTTTGACGTCTCGCGCACGGCGCACGTGTGCGCGTCTTCGATGGGAATCGATCTCAAGACGCATCCAAAGGGATTGGCGGGGTTGAAACGACTGAAGGAGAGGTTCGGGATGTCGTTTTTCTTTCGCGGCGCGGCGCCGCGCGCGCTGGAAATCGGTTTGGGCGGGGTGATTTACTTCACCGTCATCGAAACCACGAGGAGGTACTTTGAGTCGTCGTCCAGAGAGACGAAAGACGCGAAGGTTTTGAAAACCGTGTAGTCGCGTCGCGCTTCGAAGCGAGGCGCGTCGTGTTTAACGTTATTGTGCAGTTGTGATTGATTTGTTGTTGTTTACCGCTACGAGACGCCCCGAAGGTTGTCCGCGCCGCGTCCATCTACGACTACGCCTACGACTAATCAGTACTGCTCCGCGAACACGACGTCATCGCTGCGATAGTTCTTCTTCTTCTTCTTCAGTCTCACGTTCAGGATCAAGTGCACTTTGCGATTGAGCGCGCGCTCGAGCATCGCTCTGGCGTTGATGCCGATTCGCCCGACGACTTCGCCCGACTTTCCGACGACTATTTTCCTCTGCGACGCGGTGTCGACTAAAATATTTTGCTCTATGCGCGCGTCACCGTTTCTAAAGTCTTCCCACGAGACGTGCGCGATGTCGATGCCGTACGGTAAATCTTCGTGCACGCCGTCGTACACGCTCTCGCGCACGATTTCCAGCGCCCTCTGCGCCGGCGTCATATCGCTCGTCGACGTCGCGTCGAACTCCCACGGCGCCTCCCGAGCGCCGGCGACGATGTGATCCATCAGCGCTCTCGTTCCCGCCCCCGTGAGCGCGCTGACGGGAAACACGCGCGCGAATTCAAAATCCCCCGCGGCGCGGAAATCGTCCACCATCTTCGTCAACCCCGCGCGTCGCTCCTTCGGAATCTTATCAACCTTATTCAGCACCAGCACCGCCTCCGGCGGCGCGCGCATCTCCCCCAGCGCCGCTCGCGTCTTTCGCACCGCCTCCAGCACGCGCAAATCCCGTCGCTCCAACTGTCTCGCCGCGTCCACGACGAAGACCAACGCGTCGCACTCGCTCGCCAGCGCCGTCGCGTCCTCCACCTTTCTCGCGTGCGCCGCGTTCCTGTAGTGCTCGCGCCCCACGATCCCCGGCGCGTCCACGAACACCACCTGCGCGTCCCCGACCGTGCGCACCCCCAGCGCGCGCGTCCGCGTCGTGTTCGTCTTTCGACTCACCGCGCTCACCGCGTCGCCGACGAGCGCGCACGCCAGCGCGCTCTTCCCCGCGTTCGGCGCGCCCAGCACGCCGACCCGCGACAACTTTTCGACGCGACGCGCGCCGTCGTCGCGGTACGCGCCGTCGCGCGCGTCCGCGCGCGCCGTCGCGTCCCACGCGCGCGCTCGCCGCGCCGCCGCCGCCGCCGCCGCGCGCGTCGACCGCGCGATCGCCGCCGCCACCGCCGCGCGTCGACGCTTCGACTCCAGGTACGACGACGACGGCGCGCACCGCGACGACGTCGTCCCGTCGCACGCGCCGCGCGCGCGCGCGCCGCGACGCCACCGCGACGCCGGCATCGACGACGACGTCGATTCGCGCCCTTCGCCGCCGCCGACGCGCGGCGCGGCGTCCGCGACCGCCGACGCGCCGCGCGCGGGTCGCGACGCGTTCGACGCGCCCGCGACGACGCGACGAAGCGCGCGCGACGCCGACATCGCGACGCACGAACGCGAATCGATTCGATCCTCGCGCGGCACTGTGCCGCGCGCGTCGACCGCGCCGCGATGCGCGTCGCGCGCGCGGACGTCGCGACGACGAGCGAAGACGCCGCGACGACGGCGACGACCTCGATCGACGCGGCGAAACCGCCCTCGACGGCGACGCGGCGCCGCGAGCTGGACAAAGCCGAGAAGAAGGCGCGGCGAATGGCCGAGATCGACGCGTTCTTGCGAGCGCGCGAAGTCGCCGCGGCGCGCGAAGACGCGTCGCGGGATGACGCGGACGGCGACGCGTCGAACGGCGCGGCTCGACGACGCGAAAACGAAAAGAAAAAGAAACCGACCGCCGCGGCCGACGGCGTCGCCGCCGCGGCCGACGGCGCGCGCGTCTCGCGCGAGTGGTTCGCCGCCTTCGCCGTCGTCGCGTTCTTCGCCGTCGTCGGCGGCGCGTATTCCTTGTATTCTTTCGTCGCGCGCGTGGCGTCGCGCGCGTTCGCGTCGTAGCGTCGTCAGGCGTCGCGCGCGTTCGCGTCGTAGCGTTGGCAACGACCAAACGAAAATCCGCGCCCATCGGTTCCCGACTCGTCGCGCGTTCCGAGACCGCCGAGAATCGGCGCGTTCCGATACCGCCGAGGATCGAATCGACGAAAATCGACGCGGCGCGTCGCCGCGCGAGCGGTCGCGGTCGACGCCGCGCCGCAGTTCGCGACGTGCGCTCGGGGTGGGCGTCTCCGGACAGTCGGCGCGGCCACCTCGCGCGCGACGTCCGAGACGCGCGCGGGCGCATGTGCCTGATCACGGACGAACACGGGAACGCGCTTCCGGCGCTCGCGCGGTCGCCGGCGATGGGAACGTCGTCGAGCCGGGTGAAGGTGCCCTCGCCGCGGCGAGACGCGGCGGCGCGACGGGACGTCGCGAGCGCGCCGGCGTCGCCGCGCCGCGCGCGACGCGCGCCGAAGCGCGAGGACGCGAACGCGCGCGTCGAGTTTCGTCCGCGCGCGGTCTCGCGCGACGCGCGAAAGCACCGGCGCGCGAAGAGCGAAGAGGCGCGCGCGCGGGACGTCCCGAGACGAGAACGAGAACGAGAACGAGAACGCGCGGGGACGCTTTTCCAAGATTTCGACGCGCTCGGGATCGAACGGCGCGACGATTCGTCGGAATCGTCGCGCGCGGACGAGGGCGAACGACGCGCGAAGCCTCGCGTGGGTTACGCCTCGGTGGCGCCGATGAAGGAAATTCTACAGACCCGCGGGGGCTCCGCGCTCGAGGCGCTCGGGATTTTATTTCGAGATTCCGATCGAGAATTCGAGCGCGCGGCGGCGACGACGACGCCGTCGAGCGATGATTATTCTCGTCGTCTATCCTCGCGAGACGCGCTGTGATGCGGACCGGTCGCGCGTCGGCGAAACATTTTTTGAGTGAAATTTGGTCGGAACGGCGAGGACGCCGTCGAGGTCGGCGTCCCGTCGCGAACTCGCGACGCGCTCACGAAACCATCCCGCGATGCACCCACGAAACCATTCTTTTGTAACAACAGCGCGCTACGAGATCCACGCGCGTTCGCGCCATCCGCGCGATCGATCGCGTCTTTAAAGAACCGCTCGCGATCAACCGAACGCGATTCTCGCCGCGACGGCGACCGCCGCGAAACCGAGGGACGCGCCCGCGCCCATCGCGAACGCCGACCCGATCTGCGTCCCGATTCCCTCGCGCGCGGACGCGCCTGGATCGTCCGCTAAAAATTCCGTCGCGGGGCGCGGCGCGCCGACCGCGGAGGTTTCGCCGGTGCGAGGATTCCAAAAGTACACGCGCCGCGTCTCGCGGTCCACCACCGGTCGCCAAGGATTGGCGTCCGACGACGACGACGACGACGCGACGTCGCTCGAGTCGCGGCGGACGACGTCTTTGCCCGCGCCGGACGCGAACGCGCGCGCGTCGGCGACGCGCGGGACGAGGCGCGCGAGGCGACGGAGGGGCGGGGACATCGCGCGCGCGAGGCGAAGTGACGCGAGGGACGCGGCGCGGCGCGAACTATACCGGTGCGTTGACGATGACAAATTGTCGTTAATACGCCTGCGCCTGGGTGTTGGCCAACACGGCTTGCGTGAGGGCGGTGGTCTTGGACAGCAAGGCTTTGGTCTTTTCGATGATTTGCTCGTTGACGGATTTCTTCTCGACGTGCACGTGCACGAAGCCGGCTTCGGAATCGATTCGCGCGTTGAGCTTACTGCCGCGGATGAGAGTCGCGATGGTGGCCTCGACGTCGGCGGCGGGCATACCGAGCATTTGCGCCAAGTTGGCGATGTCGATGCGCTTGTTCACCTTGCAGTAGTTTTCGATGACGTACTGTCGAGCGTTTTCGTCAAACGCGTCCTTGCAGCCGATTAAAAAGAAATCCTTTTCAATCATCGCGTCGCACTTCTTCAGCATCTCTTGCGTCTTGGAGAAGTCGTAGTCGACGAAGGCCGCGACGACGAAGTCGAGCGCGGGATCGTCGTACACGTCGCTCTGGATAATCTTCACTAAGTCTTTGAGCATGTTGCGGCGCTTCTTGTTGGCGACGATGGCGACGGCGAGGTAACGCAACAAATGCGGCGCCTCTTGTTGCACCGCTTGCATGTATCGCTCCTGGAACAACACGTCGATGATCAAGTTGCGACCGTTCGGGTGGTTGAAGAAGACGAACAGGGCGTAATGCAACAACCACGCGCGCTGCTTCATCTTGACGAGGTTGCTCGTGCTCGCGTTGCTCTCCAACGCGTCTCGCAACCTATTCATGTCGTCCAGAGCCCCGCCCCAGTTCCGCAACAAAATGTCCGCCGCGAACTTCCCCCACAGCGCGCTCTCGCACCGCTCGTTGTCCGCGCTCAACAACTGCACCGCGCCCAAGTGCTCCGAGGCGTTTTCGTAATCGCCGCACTCGTACTCAAACTTGGCAAACTTGTACAGCGCGTCCACGTCCGCGCTCGTCACCCCGTGATTATCCTCCGCGAACTTCGCGTTCGCCGCCTTATCCCGTCGCAAGTTCTTGATCAGCGCCCCATCGCTCGCGAACTTCACCGCCCGCGCCGCCGCCTTCCCCAGCGCCGCGTGCGCCTCCACCGTCGCGTCCCGCCTCGCCTTCGCCTCCGCCGCCGATCCCGACCCGCTCGCCTCCGCGCGCGCCTCCTCCGCCCAATCGCACATCTTCGTCTTCACCAGCGTCGCCAGCTTCGCCTCTCGCAGCGACTTCGCATCGTGCGTGCCCTCCGCGAGCGCGAACTCCAGCAGCGGCAGCGTCAGGTGCGCGTCCAGCCGCGCCGCGATCTGCGTCGTCGTCCCGCGCTCCGTCAGTCCTCGCGCTCGACCGCGGCGCGTCGGCCCTTCGCGTCCGCGACGCGTTCGCGATGCGTTACTCTTCGCCCGCGTCCTCGCGCGTCCGCCGCCGTCGCGCGCGCCGCGTCGCCGTCGCGATCGCGCAAACCCTGCCGCCGCCGCGTCGCCGCGTTCGCGTTCGCCGTCCGCTCGTCGCGTCGCCGCCCGTCGTCTCCCGTCGTCTCCCGTCGCGCGTCGCGTCGCGCTCGCGTCGCGTCGCGTCGCACCGTCGACGTCAGGTCGCGCATCGCGCGTCGCCGTGTCGCGCGCGCGCCGTCGATCGCGCGATCCGTCGGCGCTAATTAAATCACACCGCCCGTATTGAAGCACCGCGCAAACAGCGCGCTGACTGCGCCTCCATACGTCGTATTCGAGAACGAATTCGTTCGAGACGTCGACGCGCGGGCGTCGAAAATGTCGTCTGTACTGTTTACGCACATACGGTCGGTCGCCCCGCCGCCACGCGCCGCCGCGTCCCGGTAACGCGTCACATGGCGCTCGCGCCCGGCGCGTACCGCGCGCGCGAGCGCGCGCCCGCGCGCGATGGCCACGACGCGGCGCGCGCGACGGTCGCGTTCGATCCGGCGCGTCGCGCGGCGACGCCCGCGATCGACGCAAACGCGCCGACAGCGACCGACGCGAAAGCGGATAACGCGCGCGCGGGACGCGCGGCGACGGCGTGGCGACCGCGCGCGAAGCCGCCGCGCGCGCGACCGCTGAGGTTCGAGATGGACGCGACGCGACGGGAGGTGGCGAGCGAACGGGCGTATGCGCTCAGCGCGCGGTTCGCGGCGCGCGTGGCGTGGTGCTGCCAGGAGGGATGTTATCCGCACAAGGATCATCACGTGAATCAGGACGCGTGCGCGACGTGGGAGGGAAGGGAGATGGCGCACGAGGAGGCGGTGATCGATGGGGAGGGAAACGATGCGGTGGCGCGGCGAGAGACGGGACGGGTGCTGGTGGGGGTGTTCGATGGGCACGGGAAGCACGGGGAGGAGTGCGCGCAAATCGCGCGGGCGACGTTCGCGGAGACGCTGGCGAGGGAGACGCGGGGAGGCGCGGCGCTGAGGGATGGGTACGCGCGGACGTTCGAGGCGGTGAACGCGGTGGTGTGCAAAGAGATGGGGGAGAACGCGTCGTTTTCGGGGTCGACGGCGATCACGGCGCTGTTTGATGACGAAGGCGTGGTGCGCGTGGGAAACGTCGGGGATTCGCGATGCGTCGTCGGCGTCGAGCGCGCGGCGGGCGTCGCGGTCGGGAATCGACACACGAGGCGATGGGAGGTGAGAGATTTGACGCATGATCAGACGTGCTTTCGCGCGGACGAGCGCGCGCGGATGAAAGCGGAGGCGACGTCGCCGATGACGTTCGCCACCATCGGCATGGTTTTGGGCGAAACCGAGGCGCACGAGGACTTTGGCGACGGCGAACCGGGTTCGGACGAGGAATATTGCGACGACCCGCCGCGCGTTTTCATGGCTGGTTATCGTTTTCCCGGATGCGCGTTCACTCGCTCGATCGGTGACACCGTGGGGAAGTCGCTCGGCGTGAGCGCGACGCCCGAGATGAGCGAGTTTGACTTGAACGCCGAGCCGTCGACGCGGTGCGTCGTCGTCGCCTCCGACGGCGTGTTCGAGTTCATGTCCAGCGCGGAAACGATGGCGATCGCGGAGAAATTTTACGAGGAGAACATGCCCGGTGCCGCCGAACGCGCCGCGCACGCCATCGTGCGCGCCGCGTTCTCGCGTTGGCAAGAGCACGACGAGCGAGCCGACGACATCACCGCCGTGGTGACGTTTATTTATCCGCTCGACTCCGACACGTCCACGGCGACGGTGGTGGTGAACGACATGGACGATGCGCTTAATAAACTCTTGTTGTAGACTAGACTGCGTGCGCGCGCGATTCTTTCTTAATACCGATATTATAAGCGTTATCGCTAAGCGAGACACCACCGCGCTTCGGCGTTCGACGTTCCGATGAATAGAATTAAAATTCGTTTGAGCTACTGATGATGAACGATCGATGCGATTTTCGTTGCCTACGACTAGCGCGCCTTCGCTGTCTCTTCCTCGATGATCTCTTTCGCGCGCTCGAGTTTCTCCGACGTGTCCCCGTCAACGTCGTCGACGGCGGCGTCGAACTCGTCCGCGCTCGCCGTCGGGGCGTCGATGGACCCTCGAACGACGTCGACGTCTTCCAGGTTGCTCAACGCCATACCGGTGACGTACGTGCCGTCCATCTCTCGCCCACCTCGCCCATCGCGGCGCTTGAGCTTGACGTGCAAGCCGTTCGTGGTGTGAATCGTCGCGCCCGTCGTCATGCCGCATTCGCCGTCGGGGTGCTTGGACTCGTCGAGTTCAAAGTCGAATCGTCGCATGAGCATGGCGAGCGACACGATTGACTCAAAAATAGCAAACTGATCGCCCACGCATTTGCGCTGGCCACCGCCGAAGGGCAAGTACGCGTACTCTTCGGTGTACTCGTTCGGCATCGGGGCGTCGATCGGGAAGCGTTCGGGCTTGAACGCGTCGGGTTCGTCCCAAATCCGCGGGTTTCTGTGCAAGTTCCAAACCGAAATGAAGAAGTCGGTTCCGGCGTCGATGTTGTACCCTCCGAGGGTGACGGGCTCTAACGCGCGCCTGA